GTGCATGTAAAGTTAAGCTAATTTTTCTAAATTTCTCGTATATATCCGCACCTCTCTTTCTTGGTGTGGCCATTAGCTTTACAGTCCTCAAGAACATTCCCCTTGACTAACTAACTTTCCATCCCTAACATCTTGGCCTCCCGCCTGTGTCCCATTTTCCCCTCTGCTTTTGTTTTTCGTCTGTCCTGTACCTAGTCTATTACGCATTTCCATTCGATAGTCAAACTTATTTCTACTTTTTTCTTTCACCAAATTCGAAAAGGGTGAAGAAGAACCTGTTGATAATCTAGCGACCATTAAGATCTACCCAAGTTAATTTTATAGATGTGAAAGGGACAAATTACGGTGGAATAACTCATCTGATAAAGATCTGTTTCAAAAGGACGGGATTTTTTTCGCGGTCCGTACCGTAAATGACTTCGCCGCCCTTGCTGTCGATTATTTTTTCCTTTTCGTCCTTGCTCTCTTCCATCTGAGTCGTTCTCTTTCTTTCGCTCTGTCGTTCCCGGGTAAGGAGAGCGTCGATCCGGTTGTTTTAGATGGAAGAAGAAACGGCAGCAGCGGAAACGCTACAGCAGCAGTACTGGATTTTTAAAAGCGTGCGCCCGCGGCTCCTCTAACGCTACTGTTTAGTGGCCTATACCAATTATCTCATCGAATTGTGGACCGCATTCTTCAACGAGAACAAAGGACGATGCGGCCGACGGCGCGGCCACAGCAACGGCCGCGTCTCACGGATATTCGCATCATATGGGAAATAATAATTGATTTAGGGTAATCCTGTCCTGTAAACTACATATTATAAACGTGAAATATATTCCCTTATTTTTCGGAAAAAATTCTCAATCATGTCACACTAAAGGCAGAGTGGGACGAGTTACTTATCCTGAAATAATGAAATATTTTTATTGGATATCACTATTTTGAAAAAGGTTTGAAGGGGAAATTAGTTAGTGACCTGGCAATTGCACGTCAAGTAATGTTTTAGTGATAACAGAGTGGGATATTCTGTAATCGAAAATTTATTTATCATAAAATTAAGAGCAAATCAAATGCAAGGGTATTTCCACAATATTCCGCTTTTTCCTTTGCTGGGATCAAAAATATACATTCCCATTAAAAAGGCCTTCCATATCAAAGTTGAGGTTCTATTCAAGATCACTAGCCAATTTTACTCCTTTAAAAGCAACAGTAAAAACTTATAAGAGTATTTTTGATTTTAACATTTTTCGCTGGTGGTAAAAATATGCATTTCCATTAAAAAAGCTGAAAGTGACTTGATCTTCAAATAATTTTGAAAGCGAAAACCACTGATTCCCCTTCGACAGTATACAATTTTTGTCTAAAATATTTTCCAAAATGATCAGCTCCAATCAAGGTATTTGATTGGCTTAGGATGAAGGACTCATGAATATGTGTAAAACTTAATAATAATCGAGGTTGAAACGTCATTTTATTATCAGATTTCTTTTAATCGTATGATTTACATTCGTCCTTACAACGTTGGTGATCCTTTCTTTTGAAATTTTATAGAATTCTAAACTCCTAAAGTTTAAAATTTTCAGTTTTGACTTCCCTTTTTATATTCATCTGACTTTTATTTTTTTAATTTTGAGTAGATGTTTGACGGTTCTTTTTACCCTTTTCGATACGAAGCCTTAAAAAACATCGACTAAACGTAACAATTATGTACTACAATCGACAATGATGTAATAATGATAATAATTCAAGAGTTACCTCTGTTTAAACTATCAATCACTTGAATAAAAGTTAGTGGGACGTTTGGTACGAGACAGACGTTGATTTTCTGTTGTTCGACGACGGGCTAGACGAGTAATTACCCTTTATCGATGACTGCGTCATTCGCTGCTCGTTACTTTGCATCGAAATAATCAAGTTGGCGAAGCATATGGCAGCCATTATCGAAAGCGCATCTCGGATTGATACGACAACCTTTTAGCGTTCGATTAAAAAAGAAACTAAAAAAGCAAACCATGGGTACGAAACCTAAACAAAAAAAAGGAACGCTGACAAGAAGACGAAGAAGAAGAAGAATCGGACGTCTGAAGGTTTAATTGTTTGCTACCTTTTTCGTAAATGGTACTCAGTGGCCAGTGGTTACTTGATTCGATATGTCGTGCACGTCTGGCACCTGATGGAATTAAAATTACCAACGATTTTACAATATTAAAGATAATGGTAAAGAAAGAGGACTTTTCGGCTACTAATGCTGGTAAGTGGGTAGTCCCTCCTACTAACACTCTTGTGTAATGCTGGAGAATAAGGCGGAAGTCCCTAGCAGCCATTTTATAATTGATGGTTGGCGAAAAACAGATAATTTAGGAAACGATCCAAGAAAACTAAACAGTGATACATGAGCCGCTAGACTACATTATTTGACAGGATAATGTAAAAAAAAACAAGCCAAATTGTCTCGATAGACAGTTATTGATTTCAAATGGATAAACAGTTTTAAAAATTCCCCTTTTTTCAATTTCACCCTAGGAGTGATATTCTTTTGGTATGATTGAGATCATAATTACTGATTTAAAGTGGATGAATAGTCTTAAAACCTCCCTTTTCTTCAATTTCACCACAAGAATAATCTTCTTGGCATGGTTGAGATCAAAATTATTGATTTAAAATGGATGAAAATTTATAAAACTTCTATTTCTTTCCATTTCACCACAACAGTGATCCTGTATAGGTAAGGTTAAGATCTGATCCTTTTCGGTCGACTCGGTTATCCTTTGTTTCGCCAATCATTTCCCTTCGATTTATTTTTAGTGGATTTCCTTCTTTTTGTTTAATTTCAGCACAATGATTATCCTGTTGATTGATACGGATCAACTCTATCCACTGTCCTAGGAGAGCGGTTTATGACTTGCCACATTTCACTGGGATTCAAGAGTGTTTGACAAAGTTCATAAGGTAGCACGTAGAGTTGGTTCACATTTTGTTGGGGCTGCTTACGGCGTGCTAACGAGATCCATTACGATTGAAATGCGATCTATGTCTAACGGTTTCAACAGAAAATTGTGTTCTATTTGGTTAGCATGCCGTCGATTCGGTTCGACAATAAGTCGATATTCTTAGTGGACCTTGTCGAATATTCTTGAATCCCACGGAAATATAGTAATTTACTGCAGAGTTTTTGATGTTTTAAGATTCATTTATTACACTTAATAGAAGAATTTCACTTTACAAATGATAACATCTTACAGAGGAAACGCGACTTCTGAATAAACAAAATAAGAGCGATACAATCTAACGATTATTTGAACTAAGTTAAGTAGAATTGTTATCTAATACTTATCGTTTGCAAAACACAGCGATATAAATGTTTACAGTAGCGTACTCGGGAGATTTTCATTAACAATTTTCATGTAAAGCGGTCGTGTTAGAAGCAGTTAAAGCTTACGTAGCATCGGTGATTGTCCGATTCATTCCAAACAAGTGACTCTTGGCTGTAAGTACACACGGAGTCGCTCAGATTTTTACGGCTGATAAAGAGCACGCAGTCGGGGTGTTATCTCTCTCTCGATGGACATGTTAGACGATAAACTTTCGACTTAACTGTCGCAATATTAAAGGACATCACACGACCGCGTTATATGACGCGGACGGCATTACGACGCTCTTAAGGCGGATACCGTTTCGGAATTATCATATTATGGACGCGTTATCTGCTCGCGGAAGCGGGGTTTCATTCGTAGAAGAAAAAATTGTATCGCTCTTGTCGTCAATTTACCCGTATTTTCTTCTATGTGTACTACAGTTAAGACAGGTGTGCGCGATCTTAAGTGCGCTTAAGAATTACCAGTCGCTAATGGAACGTATCTAAACCCACGGGCGCGAATAAGATTGATCCAAAATCCACCCTCGCGCCATAATCGCCGCCTGCGCGCAAGTTGGTAGATACCACCGCATACACTTAAAAAACTGCACCATTGTAGTGGTGACAATTGTTATATCTCTTCGGTTATCAATGTAAGTTTACATGACGTGTCGGACACCCCAAATAGTATTAATGTGCATCAATAGATAGTCTGTACGAAGCAATATACATGTATAAGAGTGTATAAAAGAGCTAGTAGGTCTCATTTTCATCCACAGCGACAAATTTGATTGGTAAAATCGCCAAAGACATACTCTTGTAAATGGTCTAGTGGCTAAGGTGTAAGTCTGCCACGCCAGAGTGCGCGAGTTCGAATCCTACAGTATGATCAGATTTTTTTTAGCTTTTTTTGTATGCTATAATAAACCGACTTCCTGACGGAGTATTTTATTTTTCCAATCAAAAACTATTACCACCGACAATACAATCTGTCAGTAGGGTTCGTAAAATATATTGCAGCCGCAGGACGGCGCCTGAGATTGATTTAATTTTAGTTTCCTTTTACACCCTATACCTGTGTATATATACACGATGTCGTACATGGTAACTTGCAATAAATTGCGCCATTTTATATTATGCTACGTGTGTAAAAACGCGCGTCGTATAAGGAGTTTTATTACAGCTCGAGGGATAGATCGATCGTAATTCGGTAGTAGATGTCTGCCGACATGCTGGTGCTAGTATCTAACCGATCGATAATAACGATTTAATTGCTTACGTTTATTATGCTACCAGTTTATAAAATCACTCTATAATCTGAACGGACTAATGTATGTATAAAATGGGTCCGTAGGTTAAATGTACTTCGTACCATCATCTGACGCTAGCTAAGCTTTTGAATATAATCGACGATACCCAGGTAATCCTTAGTACCTATTCCTTGCAAGTAGAAAGAAACGATATTGATGATACAGTCGTTCAGTTTCGTTGTAAAACGGCCACCATACTAAAATTACCATTTTACTAAATATTTCCAAGGGCTAGTGCACCCTACAGTAGCATTACTTGAATATTTTTGGCAAAATAGCAATAGATTTCTCAAACTTCATGCAAAGTTTCTTGAAAGTGTCATACATTTTCAGTTTTATTATTTCGTTTGCAGGGACGGACTGGTGGACCGTATTATGGCATCCAATCCCTCGTTCTTTTGGGTAAGTTTTTACTTTCCTTTACTATATTTCAGTTTTCTTCAAAGTGCCTTTGATTGCACGCACAGAAATGGTCAAATGAATCTAAATTGATGCGAACGAACTTAATGGCTTCTGACCGCCATATTGGTTTCTAACAGCAACATACCTATTGGCTTCGTTGTTGACGCAAGAAATGTATTGTTTTAAGTATCGATTGTCCGTTCGTTAAAAATAGTGTCCGGTAGGTACAATGTTATTATTGGTGTGCCTACACTGATCGTGTCTATAATGATGTACGCAAGTATAAGAATGCGCAGAGGCGGCCGTGCCGGCACAAGATGGCGGTAGCCCGGGGCATGCGCCGTCGTTGTCGCTGCCGTGCGGCCGCTTCATTACCCGTTTGCCAAGATAAGCGCTCATTAAATTCATAAGCGACCGGATCGTAGCCAACTTTGATCGGTCGATTACCATATATTTCATGCTCCAATATCGCAGACGGTAGCGTCCCGGATGCAAAAATCGCGGCCGGCCGCGCTCCGCTCCAGCATTTTATTATTGAACGAAGATCAGCGGGAGTTATTTTTACGCCCCGTTGATTTAAAGTAATAGCCTGGCTCATCGTAACGGCGGCAAATAGAAAAAGAAGATGAAGAAGACGTACATGCTGTTTTATATCCACACATTATATACATACATTGCATCCGTCCTACTGTTTGTAGGTGGGACGCAATGTGCTTCTGCTGTCCGTTTATCCTACTTGTTCTCGCACTTCGCCACTACTAAAATAATTATTGTTTGCCGGCATAGGTGTTAAACCGAACGTTGAAGATTGTGTGATAATTTTCTTGTTACTACATCCGAAGGGGTGTGAATCTCTGAATAGGCGCGGTTTTTAATGTTCTCTCCCGAGGAAGATCTAAATTAATCGAATGGTTTCTGCAAAGGCTTAACTTGACCTTACGAGGCAATTTACTGATGGCCCCATTATGAGCTTATAGATATCGATCTAAAGCTTTTTATCTTCTCTATTTGTTTTTACATTTAATCACGTCAGCTTTTATATTTGGTAACATTTTAAATGGTTGAGGATAATATACGATAGGAAACGTTATTCTGAAGATGAAAGCCTGAATCCAGAAAGTAGGATATGAGTAATATTTTTGGTATTTAGGAAGTCACTTAGGATAGAAAATGCGTCATAGATATAAAACAACTATAGGTCAGAGTCGGGTCGCTTTTAACATAAGAGAATTTTTTGTGATCGCAATCGGTAAATTTGGAAACATATTTTTGATTTGGCTATAGCTCTATGAGGGTGTAGAATGTGGATGATGGATGCTGAGGACAATAAAAAGTTAGAAGCGTGAGGAAGTATTAAAAACAGTAGAACAGAGAGATAAAGCGCTAGTTAGAGAAGAGAGAAAGAGAAAAGCAAAGTAGTGTGGAAGAGAGTAGAGATAGAAAAAATGATTCATTTATACGATATATGCTGAGCAATAATACGTAATGGGGATGTAATGCATGTTACTAATCAAGTGGCTAATAGAAGGACAGTTATGGGAGGGCTTTGGGAGTCAGAAATTATACTGTAAGGAACATTGGTGTAGGAGACTAATGTAATTCAATATGATATACTCCTAATTATGTAAAAAGACAGGAGATTAACTGTAGGAAAATGTGGAAGAAACGATAAATAGGATAGTAAAGCATGAGGAGTGGTTAGGAGGGTTAAAAGAAGGGGATATCAAAGTAGATGTGATAGACAACGGAGGAGGATTTTCAAGAGTTTAAAAATCAATAAGTAGTAGTTTAGAGAGGGAATCAGATCAGCATGGGTGAATTGATGATGAACAGAACAGGGAAATTATAAGGGGAGAGGATCTAAGCAAAATAGAGAAGTGAGGGTATGTGGTGGGGATAGCAAGGGGACTGGGCGCCAAGGTATTTGGAGGAAGGGACGAAAATAAAGGTGCTAACAGAATTTAGGACAGAGAATGGGTGTAGAGGGTGTAAATATTGGATGAAGGAAAAGGATGAACGGTCAAGGATATGTGACAGGGAGATAGAATGTATGAGACACATGTGATAGTAGAAGTTTTTTAGTAAAATTTTAAGGGATAAGGGGTCATCTTTTAGGGCAGTGAGAAAGGTTTGACAAAGGAAGGTAATGTAGGAGGGGTAAAAACATAGCTTTGGTTTTAATAAAGATTTCATAAAGACTTGAAAGGGGCAAAAGCACACCTAGATTGAGGAAGAGATATTGGATTAGGAGAGTAACGTCCAAAACCAGAATTTTTATGTCCAATAACCTGTGCCTTCGAGAAGGTGTGAGTGCATGAAGAAACATAAAAAAATGAGTGTGACCAGGGGATGATTATGGGTGGGTCAGTTAGAGTTGCTGTTTGCTGTGAGTGTCTTAGAGAATCGCGTGTATGTGGTCGTATTATGCAATTTTCTTTATTGGCCCGGCAAGCAAAGTGAGCAAGCGAATAACAATCAGTAACCAGTCAGTTAGTCAGTCAGTCAGTGTTGTTGGAACGGTAGCTCGATCGGCAGCTGCCAGAGGGCGCAGCCTGTGATTACCACTTGCATAGAACCACTACCGGTAATTACACGTTAGGACGCTGCGGTGTAATCTACCCGTCACACCGTTCGATTTCGCCTTTTTTCTTGCTCTTATTTGCCAACTTTGGGCCGTTCCGTAAGTGCAACAACAGACTGCTGCTGCCCCTGCTCCCAGTCTTTTAATTTAAAACTAATCATAGCGTACGCCGCGATTCGACGGACGAGAGAGCGGATTTCAGTGTTGTTAAAAACAACGGCTACCGCATGCGGTCAGGCGAAACGCATCGTCCATTCGCCATGAGGATAATGAAGGAACGGTAACAATTAAGTCCGTCAAATCTAACCGTTACAGGGTGTGATTAACTTCACGTTAAATTAACACCGCTTGTTTTTTACAATTACCTAACAGACAACACCATCGAACTTTAATTAATCGTCAATTCATATTTAATTTCTAGTTGAGTAACGATGTCTTTTTGTTTTTATTCATTTATTCATGTCAAGGCCTACTAATTCGCGATGGGAAGCACGCAAACTGTCTACCGCTATCTATCGATAAAAAAAAGGATTAATAATATATGTAGGTTACGGTATTTTTTTGAGAAGATTAGCTCGCATTTACCGGAAAACATATAAATAAGTATCGAAGTGTGGCTACGTTTAATTAGTCATCAATAAATAATTTAATTGATGATTAACAGGGTTGTTTGACCGGATCGTCACGAGTCATTTCGATATCCTTTTACCGGTTTAATGTTTTTACGTATGTAAAATAATGTTGGTGCTTCTTCTTCTTCTTCTTCTTTTTCTTGTTCCTGGAAACTACATACTATGAAATGTTAATGTAATTCACCGACTTACATGTTATTATTTAATGGGCCTTACATAACTTGTATACAGAGCGTTACAAATCCAATAACAAATCAGAAATGTTGTTGCATCATTATTAAAAAATTTTTAGTAAAGTGCACCTTACATTTCGTCTTTAAGGTTGACACAAGGCTTTCTGAAGGTAGGTCTATAGATAATACGAAGACAGGTACTTTTTTAGAGGGCCTGGTTGTAAAGTGGGCATTTACAACGTAATTTTAAACATTCCGGTTGTGAATAATGGCTAATAAAAACCAAATAGGATTAGTTAGGTGCGAGGGTGCTTCAAATGCTTGACCCTTCAAACTAATGTCTAACAATGGGGCTTAAATGGAGAGCGGTGCGGGATTCCCCTATCCTCTGTGGTTTAGTAAGACACATTGAAAATGAATTTCCTAATTTAATTAGTTTGTTTTCATTTCGCATTTAATTTATTAGCACATGTTTTGATGTTATAGCAAAGTTTTCATGGAAACGATTTTTTTTTTCAAAGTTCTTACGCAGTTTATTTAGTAATAATATTGTGTTCGTATAAAGAGGTAATAATTCTGATTTACGGGTAGCATCACGTCGCATTTGGTGCACGTTAATTACTATTTATTAAATTAGTTTACGTCCATTTACATGTAACGCTATTTTTCCACGTGTTACAGATAATAACAAAACAAGTTTTCTGCTTGCTTACAGTTTGCTAATACTCAACAGGACATTGCTTTCATTTAAAGAGTCGTCTGTAAGTTGTACTATTACTATTATTACTATTAGGTACATATATACGTAACTAATACAATGATTAGCTCCGCAAATGGCACTAGATTTAAATGGTAATTTCCTCAAAGAAGTAAAATAACCTGGCCAGGCTTTAAGATAATTTTTATTACTTATTTACTTAAAATAACGGTACCAACATCCTTTCGTTTAATGTTAGCAGGTACTTAGTACATACGTTATTATTATTAACGAAATTTCCTAGGTAATTGGATAGAATTCCTAACTTAAGCAAGTGCATGAATTCTAATTAACGAAAAGGCTATTGTTTTATGTTCTTTGTTACGATCTTCAGTCTTGGTGTCACAAGCTACATCATGCCTTAGTTTCCGCTGCAAATTATTAATTTATCTAGTTATAGAATGCTATAATTAAATGCCCTGTATATGTTTATGAATATCGCATCGAGCACACTCCTTTGGGCACACGTACTCAGGCGCAAAAACATCACTTCCTTCATTGCCAATTACCATCATCGCAAGATATCATCGAATATTAGGTTTACATTAATACACTTAAGATACAGTTAGTTATCCGCGTCAAACGGTAGCACGTCCTCTTAGGATAGCTGACGTTCTATCGACAAAGTAGACACAACTCTTGTTCCTTTTCAAGATTTTTCCAACTCATGTAGATATAGTTGAGACGTTGAAAATTGGCATAGGTCGCAATAAAACTGCGGCATTTACTTTCTTAACCAGATTAGAGCTGTCTCTAACAGAACGGCTATTTTTATTCATATTATATACATTATATAAGAAGTGGCTGATTTTAGATACCTAGGAAGTCAGATAAGTCAGGATGGAAGGAGTAGTAGG